GCTTTCATTTCCAACTTTTCCTCTTCATTATTCTTTTTCCATTATTCCTAAATAATCATTCAAACATTTTGTCCTCGGATTTGTTTTCTTCTTCTTCCTCGTCCAAGTTAACATTTCCATTTTCATTACTCCATTTTTCGATTATTTCAAAAGAGGAATACTATTGATCCTCATCTTTGTCATATTCTGTGAGAAATGTTCATATATTACACGGATTTTTTTCACCTCTCTCTTGCGATTGAGTTTCCTTGAGAAAATCCTCGCTTCTGTCTGTTGTCTATTGAGTAAGCTCTATTACGATACCCTAATCTGATGATTCGCTTCCAGAAGATTGGTATGATAAATTATGTCCTTGAAGTAAAGATTTCATATCCTTTTGGTTTCGTCGTGAAGATAATTTTATCGTTTGGTCCGAAAATTTCATGTCTGTATGTTTATTTCGACTTCGTCTTCGAGGTTCTTCGCACAGATTTACAATGAGAGAAATTATGCAAATAAGAATAGCTAAGGCCCCGAACAAGACGAATGGGCATACGAAAGCCACTACGAACAGAACCATCCTGAAATAAACATCATCTTTGAGAGTTTGAAAATGTTTAAGATCTTTTGAGTTCATCCAGTTCTGTGATGGAAACGAAGGTTGTTTTGATCTGTATCTCTTCATCTTCGAATGAAACCAATTAGCAGCTTGTTGGTAGGGGATTTTTCTATCTTTTGAAAATAAAAACGATGATTTATACTTTTTCTTTAAGTGATTTTTTTCTTTTCCAAATTTTCTACGTTTCTTAATATTGTAATTATTGTTCTTTAATGACTTCCTGTTTGTATTGATTTCCATTAACTTAAATTTCTTGAAAAGTGCATCGTGAAATTTTTCCATTCCTAATCGTCTGTTGTTGTCTTTTGACTTTTCTCTTTTGTAACTCCAAGCTTTGTTTTTAGGAAGTATTCCATCCAAATTCCATTCGCCTGTCCTTTTCTTCTTTACATTCCAAAATCGGTAATTATCTTTCGTCCTGGAATCTCTGATCCTTCGTAAATCAGACCATTCTCCAAACAGGTTTTGGTCCTTCCTCTCCCATCCAAGATCTTTGTCCATTCTTCTGTCTTGTTCACAATAGGTGATTCGACAGAAAATTATCATCAATAATAAAATAAATATTAACATCGCATTCGTTACAACGAACAATTCATAAAATGTCTTCGACAATCGCTTTGAAAACAAAGAATTAAACAATGATCATTAATATTGTTTCGTCATATTGTGAACTTTTCTGTACTTATTTGTTATTAATAATATATAATTTTTCTTAAATAATTGCATTGTAAATATTTTTAATATTAGGAAATTATGATATATATGTAAATTTGATTACTCAAACAGTTATTTCCTATATATTTATTTGAAAATTTTAATGTACAAAACATTACCGTTTTATCTTAGATATACGATACATGAAACATAATAAAGTACGAAATCTTCATTCCATGACCACGTTTTACATTCAAAATTACTTGGCCTTGGAAAGTCATTATCCTTGACGGATAAATGTTTAAACTATAAGGATGCAACCATTTTACCGTCGGCATGGAAATACATAATAAAAAAACAGACCCCCTATAACGCGGTATTCCTATAACAAAGATTCCTATAACGTAGCAAAAAAATTGCGACAGTATTCGTATAAGGACGCTAAAAGGGACTCGTAAAACGTCGTCGCTGACTCGTGTCGCGACAGAATTGGTCGAATCTGGACCAATAGCGGACGAGCAGCCGAACTACTTTCCGCCGTCCAGCGCCACGCTACGGAGAGTTTAGGCGGGTAAATTGAGTTTACTATCGTCTGTACAGTATGTAAATTAGGTACCGTAAGTCTGATACAGTACTGTAATTTTATACATTTCTTGTGAAAGAAACATTTCTTATTCAACGGCCATAAAAATTATTTATATTAACCCTTTTAACCTTTCGGAATGCCGAACCATACAGGCGTAGGTTCACTCGGGTAAATACGAAGGTCATTGAGGGAAATTTAGTAATATTATGTAAAAAATTCGTATAAAATCGAATTTTAGTAATAAAAATATAAAAACAAAAAATTCTAATATGGAAGTATGTGTACTTTTATTTGGTATATTATTTATCTGCGTATACTTTTTATTATTTTTTTAAAAAATTCGTATTTGTTAGCTTACGTTAATGATGTCTCTAAAGTTCAACGAATTTTTCGCAGAAAAATAACATCAGAAATCGCAGCCGCCGTTTGGTGCGCTGCTCCGCGACGAAAACAAGCTTAAGCAATGGCGACGTCGAACGGTGCACACTCGGTAAGTAACTTAATCCTACAATTTTTTGTTTGTAGCATAGTTTATACGGATTATTCCCAAAAAATTATACGTGTTTTGGAAATGTTGAGTCGAATTAGTCTAGAATTGGTTAATTTTATGGAAGAAAACCTTTAAAACAGCCGTAGTCCGTAAACTTCACACGTGTCGGGCTGCGATTGGCTCATGTATTTAAGGATTTCTACAACGTGAGATTCGTATAACGTGGAACATATCTACGTGTTATAGGGGGGTCTACTGTAAATAAATAAAAAAAGAATAGCGCGTGCCGATACCCCAAACGGAAACTCTGATTGGATTGCACCATTTCCATCGTTATAAAACTCAAAATATTTATAAAAATAATTCTTATATATAAACGCATATTTTTAAAATAATAATTATTGATTAAATTTAAAAATAAGTTTTTTTTTTCAAATTATTGATTTCACTCGCCAGATGGCAGGCGAGTAATTGTTTATCTCGATCGATTGATCAATCATCGATCGATTTTCGTCGTGGAACATGGATGCGAGTAAGTACTTTCGGATGTTATCATTCGTAATAGCATAAATGTTGTAACATATATTCTAGTATAAATGATTAATTAAAGTGTAATATTTGAAATTAAATTTGACTATAGTTTTTGTAACTTTCATAGTCATATCTAATCTTAATAAATTATGTTAGATTAATTTTATCTTTAATTTCTTTATGTTATTCTTCGTGTTATCTGCAATTGTTCTAATTTCCAGACGGTTTGTGCATTCCTTCTTTTTGGCAAAATGCAAATCTTATTGAAAATGAAATACCTATTAATATACAAGAGACTGCAGAGAAACTCAATGTAGTTGCAAAAACTGCAAATATTGATGTAGGTATATTTTTTGAATAACTCCATTAGAATGAAAAAACGGTAAGATTTTAGCTTTAAATGAGGTAGTGGGATCTTATCAGAACTGTAGACCATCAGAATAAAAAAGTTAAAGGAACTGATGGTCTCTGGCTCCAAAATCCCGAGGCGTTTTGAAGACCCCAAAAATAGGGTAACATTAAAAGTGAAAAATCAACAACTTTTGCCCTGAACTGTTTCTAAAATGATGCTAAAAGTCAACCGTTTTCCACTTTATTAGAGACTCCTAAAAGCGCGTAAAACACGAGAAATGCCGTTGCACCGACTAGACTGCCAGATGGTCGAGCAGTCGAGGTGGGAGCCTACCGCTCTACGGGACCAGGGATCGAATCTGGAGGTGCCAAAAAACCCCAGGAATTTTTTGGGTGGTGATCCATCTGGATGTCTTGGGTCCCGTCCCTTAACACCTGGTCACATCGTTGCTAAAAGAGGCCCTCTTGGTGCCCACGGGGCGGGAAAAACGATTACCAGTTGGGCACGATTGGAATTGTGCTGGTGTGCTCTGTTAAGCTTGTTGCATGTTTAACAAGCAGCCAATTTTGGGGGCTGTATCTTGTGAAGAGTCACACGTAGACCATTGGTTCCTTTGACTTTTTTACTCCTAAGTGTATGGTCTACAGTTCTAATATGGTCCCAACTGTCTCATTTAGAGCTAGAATCTTGTCTACAAATGTTATAATAGACATTTAATAATACTAATATGATTGATTAATATATACAGGGAAATGAAGTATTTTATAGAGAAGTTGAACCATTTAAAGGATTAGATTTTACGACGACTATTACTTTATTGTTATTGCATGGAGCGGCATTTAGTTCTGAAACTTGGGAAAAGCTGAATACGATCCAGTTACTTTCTGCCATGGGATATCGTACAGTTGCCATCGATTTGCCTGGTATGTAATTTTGAAGATAAGTTAATTTTTATTAATTTTTAAATTAATTGAAAATTCTTTTAAAGGATTTGGAAATAGCCCAAATGCAAAAGTGGAAAAGCAAACATTTCTCAGCAAAGTAGTGGAAACTCTGAATTTAAATAATCCGGTTGTGATAAGTCCGAGTCTTAGCGGCTTATTTAGTCTCCCGTACATGTTGAAAAATTGGCCAGAAATGGGAGGATACGTACCTGTTGCTCCGGTTGGAACTGATCTATTAGAAAATATTGGTGTTTCGTTGGAAGGATCCGACGAACGATTGCAAAGAGTCCCCGAAGAATTGAAGAATTTCCTTCAGCCTCCACTTCCAAATTTAGATGAATTTTTGGTAAAAATTTTTATATATAAAATCATCAAAAAAATTGTTTATTTTTTATCATATTTAAAATTTAACTATTTGAGGCCATAAACTAAATCAATATATGTTCTTAGATGTTAATTTGCAAAGTTTATTAATCATAAATAATGAAATTTTTCTCTCCAGGTATATAGTTTTTTTTTTTTTGAACAAACATTAATTACATAGATAACCTTTGCTTTATGCCAGTACAACATTAACAACAACAAATGTTTTCGAACAGCTTGATTGCTCTGTTTCAGGTCAGTTACAAATGTGTTTCAATTAGAATGGTTATTCTATAGCATTCTCAATCACAATTTAAACTGTTTTGAAATGTACAAAGTTTAAACTTAATTAAATTAAACTTTACTACTAATATATTTTACACAAATTTATATTAACACCCCATCATTCAATTGAGTTATTATAATAGAGATGTTGGGGCCAACATTTTCAATGAGAAAATGTGTACGTCAGATGTTTAACGCTGCCTTCTTATAGGCCTAGAAGTTTGACAATGGCGTTGGAAACATCAGTGGAATCATGCTCGATGTTCTAAACGTCATTGTTAAACTTCTAGGCTTACAGGATGGTGGCACTGAATGTCCGATGTTGAAAATGTCGACTGCAACCTCTCTAATAATCTTTTTCTCCTGGGTTATCATAAAAAGCTTTCTAAGCACACAATAGTAAATCTACATCTTGTATATTAATGCACTCCTTCAAGGCCATTTTAAATCTCTCTAACATTTCTAAAAATTTAGTTTCTTCTGTACTAAAACATTTTTTAATTAATGTTGCTTGCTCCATTTTAGTTTCATTTCCTAGTTCTGAGTCATATATGGATTGCATTGTTCTTTGTTTCTCTCTCTCTCAATATCATATTTGTGTTCTTTAGTTCTGCTGTTAAGAGGTCTGTTTGTAGCTCCTATGTAAATAGTAGCGACAAACCTATGTGACTAATATTTGTAATTTCTTCCAGTTTTGTTTTCTTTCTGTGTTTTTTGAATATTGCTTCTTGCATAATTTTAATTTTTGTGAATAAAATATATTAGTTTTTTTTATTAATTTTTATTAAAAATTATTTTCTTTCTTATTAAACACTCGTATATTTGTTATTTCCAAGCTTAAGTCTAGGTTATAATCTTTTAGGGCCATATGTCTCTCTTCAGTTCTTATTATATATAATATGGTAAAACTAATATAAGGACTGAAGAGAGGCATATGGCCCGAAATGGATTTCCTTTTATAAAAAATAGAAAATAAAATCTACTTTATCCATCGAAAAAAGCGTCCCTGTATGATAAGCATAAAATTTCTACAGAGAACTTAATTCAAAAGAATATACAACTAAAAGAGAGAACAACAAGCAATCAAGTACTTAAAAACAATGTTTGGATTCATTGTACTGTACATCAGAAAATTATATTAAAAAAGAAAAAATACAAATTAGTTAAAGAAATAAACTGTTCAAAATACTTTACTATGGGAAATAGCCATTTCAAATTTTTAAAATCGTGAAGTTGATGTAAATTTTTAAACAAATATTTTATTTTTTTCATTTAAAATAACAGTTCCAGTTACTTTGCATAACATTAAATTTTCCAAATTTTTTTGATGTATCTGTTTATATTAAAAGTATCTGTAATCTAGGAATTTTTTCTAGGTGATATAAAATATTGATAAGAATAATGGATAATTGATCCTATTTATATTAATAAAGATACAGATTAATGTTATGTCTGAATAATATATCTGAAAATTTTTTCAAGCTATTTTAAGAATTTCGTAGAAAATAATGTCCTTGTAGAACATTGATATATCAAAAATTTTAATTGTAATTAATTTAAAATTATAAAAATTGTAATCAGATAATTTGATGGAATTGCAATCTAGCAATAATTAGCAATGAAAAGTGTATAAATATCTAGCAATAATTCATCAATGATTGATGAATATACATTGCTAGATATTTATACACTTTTTTAGATTATTACAACACTAACTTAATACAGTATTTATCACATAATTAAAACTTTATTCTAATAAATAATGCTCTGATACTATAATTTTGTTCAACTTGCAACTGCACTGTTTATTATAGCGTGCTTACTATTATTAGAGAGTGACTATTATTTCTATTCCTTGGGATGAAACTATTATTTGAGAGTGACTGTTCATGGAATAAATCCATTAACTTTTTCAGTTTGTTATACAACACCATTAAAACACACTTTATTTCAATATAAGGTAAGAGTGAAAATGCTGAATAGAATCTAAATTTTTCAATTTAAAATAAGTCTTATCGCCTTGCAGAAGGTGCTATCTATAATTGTTTTTTTTTTTTTCACTTGCAGTTGCATTGTGTGTAAAAATCAATACAGTTCATTCACTCCAGTGATTAATAAGAAATACAGATGTCCAAAAAGTTCCTTTCATTAATTTTTATCTTGGCTAGATTTTTCTGAACAAGAAGAAGGTGTATTGCTCTGGCAACATACCTTCTTCTCCAGGAAATCTACATAAACCAATGTCATATGAAATACAAGTTTGCTTGGTGAAGATTAATGTAGGGGAGCATAGTAGAATGAGATGTAGTGAATCAAGAATGTCTCTTTGTTTGCGGTCGAAAACCAAAACAGTACCAGCTTGTTTTGTTTTGTTAAGTTAAGGCGATCTGCCAAAGGGGAGATGCCTTCTGGGAGGCAGGGGCGCCGCTAGCTGTTTGAACGCCCGTGTGCAATACCGATTATGCCGCCCCCCTGTTTAACTACGATTACTTATGCTGAGCTATGCCAGAAAGGCTCTTTGCCGCCCCCTGGACGTGCCGCCCGCATGCGGTGCACGCCTTGCACGCCCGCTTATGGCGGCCCTGCTGGGAGGTCTTTTTAAGGGTAACTGGCCCCTCCCCTGTTCAGGTGTTACAGATGTGGAGAAAACCCAGAAACCTCTTCTCAAAGCCTGTTTTCAATGCAGGTATTATGAAAAGTGCATGGAAATCTGGTATGCAAAATGTCTGAATGAGACACCATAAAACAATGGCTTTGTTGAGTAACTTCTTGGAAGATCAGCTGACCTCAAGGGGTTTATGGTAAATCTGTTTGATCTCTTTCTATGGAGTTACTTGAAAGAGAGAGCATTTTGGAATAATCCCTGTATCCTGAAGAATCTGAAGAATAACACCAAGCATTTTTACTGGAATTTCTCGGGTGATATTACAGTGTGCCATATGAAATGCATGTAAACAAGTATGTCTACAGCTGTAGGAGGAAAGCCTTTCCAGCAACTCCTTTGACATACATGTTTCCAGATTAATACACTGTTTAGATGTACAGTACAGTACTATAAGTTAAAATTAACATTACCTACCAGTTTCTTAGCTAATGTATTACAAAGTCACACTGGAACTTTTAAGACATCCTGTATAAGAATTGAACTCAATGATTACATTATTGCATAATTAATATGTTATATGTTTAGTATATGTGTATTCAAATGATATTCCTTTATAGCAATATTATAAAATAACTTCTTACAAAAAAATTTATAAGATAAATATTATAAGATATGGTAAACTATTCTATATAGATTTAAAATTTTTGGTAAATCAAACAATATTATTTTAAATCAAGAAGTTGAGAAGATTAATATTATAATTTTTTATATATTATAATAGGTACCAACAATGGTTGTTTACGGAGAAAAAGACAGAAAACGAAATTCAGCATTACTGTCTCTGCTTCCTTGCAGTCAAGCCAGAGAAATACCTAAAGCAAAGCATCCCGCTTATCTCGACAATCCACCATTATGGCACAAACTGCTTTATAACTTTTTAAAGCAGATTGAAATTGCAAAAACCAAATAATTTCAAAGAAAGAAAATGTAAACATAATAATAAAACAAACATTTGTGATTGTTTTCAGTTTGTAAAAACAATTTATTTCTTATGAAAATCTTTGTTATAATAAAAAGTATGATTTACCTTAAAAACAAATACATATTAAAAAAATTCTGATATTTTATAAAAATCGTTATAAGATTTTATTATTATATGATTGTAAATAAAATTTATCAAATATTTTGTATAATAATAGGATTTTTAATATGTTACAATGTTTTTCTAAACAATAAAAGATTTTATCCCAAATTTGATGAAAAATGGTGATTTATTAATAATATCTATCTCATTTTATTTTATGCATTAATTTTCCAAGATATTGATTTAATTGTAAATACAGTTAATGACAAAGTTACATGTCCAGATAGAGTTGTCCGATTACTGCAAAACTGCATACAGATATGTACATAATTACAATTCTAGTCTGATTACATGCCAGGTATTGCCACTAGAGTGGGCCAATCAGTGGCCAAGCGGTCTTCGTTCCCTGAACACTGGGAGTTCAGTCGTGGGTTCGCCCCTCGCTTGGACGTGCTGGCCACGTGGAGTTTTCCAGGTTTGCTCCACGTCTCTAATGCCTAAATATGGGTCAGTTTCCCTTAAAAAGGCATCCCCCTAGGCAGATCGCCCAAGTGTTGCATTGCCATAACTTAACAAACAAGGCACTAGAGTGACAGGTAACTCAATCCCAGTATCTTATTGAATGAAAGAGGTTTGCCATGTTCAGAATTTTCAGTGTACCTGTTTTGGGTCTTCAAATGCCAGGTATATTTGTACATTACAATCAAAGATATTAGACACAACTGATAGAGTTTTGGAAAAGCCACACCACCGGGCCAAGCAAAGCAGGATGGCCATTTCACCTAATTGCCCGCTATCTGTCCCATTCTGATCCGAGTAAGTTTTAACAGCGGTAACTGTATCCACACAACACATGGAGGGCGTAGTCATAATACTGTAACTTATGTTTGATACAGTAGAATAGCGAAAACATTACTATGCATAAGATTGTTTTTGTAGCACTTTAGTACGGCAGCATCGTTGAATAAAATATTGGTGCGATTCCCTTGAAGTCCATAATGCAACAGTTTGGTACATTGTGATAAAAATTTCAACTCATACAATCCTCAATACAGTTGTTCAAACACAGAGATAAATTAAACTGCAGAGGAGTGTATAGTTAACTTTTAACTAGAATACCTAGCCACTGTATATACTTGGGGTTGGATTTATCTATATGATTCCCCAAGATACTTATAGTTGTAAATTTATGAAATTCTCTTTAAATGTGGTATGTAAAATGTTTTGGTTGATCGTTTCCGTAACTAGTTTCTTTTAATTAGTGGTTTTTTTAGTAACTTCAATCACACAAGAATACATTAATTGAATATGTAGACTTCATTATTGTATTCGGAAATGCATTTCGGTTTTTAAAGTTACTAAAAAGCCAAAATTTAGGCTTACTAAGTCAAAAGAGAAATAAAATGTTATAAGATAAACTCAAAACTCAAAAATAACTAATTTTTTAAAGTAGTTATATTTTATTTTCTTTGAAAATATTTATTTACGAACAAAAAAGAAGAATTTTCTTAAATAGATTAGATTAACCATTTTTAAAATAATTTTGTTATATCGAAACTGTTTTGAAGAAATTTTTCTGAACGTCCGAAAGAATTGATTCAATTTGTTTTTAAAAAGTTATTGTAAGGTGACGTTGATTTTATGCCAGGCTGTTCCCAGAAAACCGCGTAGATTCCAGATAGGAGGAAAAGTTTCTGGTTGCACGTTGTAAGAAGAATCTACCGCTTTGCATATAATTCCTAGACCGCAATTCCTTTGCTTTACCGGAACTTCCACCTAACAAAAACATTTATTTTCAATAATTGCATTCGTGTAAAACCAAAATATATATATGATTCTGAAAAGTCTACTTCACTTACTTCCCACATTGTCCAGGCCCAGGATCGATGCAAAGGCGTATCTTCCTGCTTCAAATCTGCAGTTTTCCATGTCTTACCCTCGTCTACGGAAACATCTACCCGAATAATCTTTCTTCCACCTCCGCTCCATGCGTAACCTTTTATTTTTAATTTACCGTCGCAGATTTTTACTTTGCTGTTATTCACCGGTTCACAAATGGCGGAAACGACTGGAATTTCCTGAATGGCTACAGATTTACACCAATTTACATTATTCGAATCCACATTCGGGGAGAAACTCTTGTAATCATTCTGCTGCCATTCGCTATCGCTTTCTCTGCACGCCATACTTATCTTTCCTAGCCATTTCACACTTCGAGTACCAACGTAACCCGGCACTACCACTCTTACCGGATAACCGTGGTCCGGAGGAAGAGGGCATCCATTCATTTCGTACGCTAGTAAAACATCTTCTTTCGGATCAAGAGCCTATGAAAAAATGGGCAAGTTACAAATTTTGGTTTGGTCGAAAGAAATTAAAAACTGTCGATACCTTATGAGCCGGAACGGAAACTGAATAGTGGGTGTTAGTCTTGCAATCTTTATCTAATCCTTCAAAATGGACATGCTTAATATTTCCATCGTTCAAATCGACTCCCGCACACTTTAATACATCCACCAATTTAGCACCTCCCCAGGTTGCAGTACCGATTGCTCCCGAACACCACTTCAGTCCCGAAGTATCTTTCACCTATTAAATAATTGTTATAATTATTTACTTGGTTGACTTTTTAGTGTAATTACAAACACGTACTTTATCTAATTCGGATCTTCTGATGCCAGCCGATTGAATAGTTGCATTCATTGTGTATTTCGGGAACTTGCAAATCAGATCTTTCAGCGAATAACAAGTAGTCTTGCCGTCCATTAATTGAATGGTTAATTTATAATCTCTACCATTTACCTGAGGAACAGGAAAGTGATTGCGGACGTAGAAGAGTGCGCTATGGTGAGAGAAGAAATGTTTAATTTCTTTAATAAGAATTAAATTTGATATTGCACGTGTAGCATTAGTGCCACACGAAAGATTTTCTAGCTTACTTTGGCGTGACAAATTTTTCACCCAGCAATTCTAAAGGTGTTTCCGCGTTAAATGGTTGACGGCAAGCTACTTTCAGGCTAGGATGTCTATCGGGCTCGTTGCCATACATATCTCTGCTCGGTTTTCTGTCTTCCATACAAAGATTGCCAATGCGATACTTCTCTAATATCTCCATCATCTGAATTATAGGTAAGAACGAATGATAAACTTTCCACCCATTTACCTGGCGTACAGTTTAAAAAAAAAATATATATATATATATATTTTAATGTACCTCATCGCGTTTGTGGGTGCCATATAATTCCCAAAAAGGCTCTAGAGATCCTCCGGCTGCAAATTTTATTTTATCGTCTGGATGTTGGCTGATGTACTTCGTTATGTCGTAAACACCGGCTCTGTACGTTACCCAAATACACTTATCTAACGTGTCGTGTTCGGCGACTTGTTTTGCAGAATAATTAGGCAAACACGGATGGACTTCGCCGTATTTTCTACATTCTGCTTCCAATATAGGCAAAGGATTGACGACTGCCGAATTAAAATTATAAAATAAATAAATGTATATTTTTAAATTTTCAATTTATACAGAAATTCCGATTCATAATGTACATAAACGAAATTTTTCTAGAATGTCTTCGATAAGAACTTTCAAATTCTATTCTTTTTCGTAATTAATAAAATTGTCTTAAGTACGTTTTGTGCATCTCATGTATTTCTAATTTTTAAATAAATTAATTAAGATAAATAATTAATTATATCGTATCAAAGAACATTTAAAACTACTCGATTTTGTTCTAAATACTGAAGGATACATTTTGTTCGAAATTCGATTTTCTTCAAATTTTTTTTTGACCAATTTCATTTTAAAAAATAGTAAAAATTAAAGAAAATTAGTTGGTTTTACTTACAAAACTCTTTTTTCGACTTATATTTTAAATAAAGAGCCCCCGATGTCAATCCCAAAATGGTGGAACCAACCAAAAAACTTTTATTCCATCCACTTTTGGAATTTTCCCCATTACTCAAAGTGGATTTTCTTTCCAGGGCAACGGTTCCGATTTTGGGTACGCACTTATCTGCTTTACTAAACGAGAAAATAATAATAATAAATAATAAAATAAAATAATAATCTCAATAATAATTGATTAAATTCTATCGTACCTGCAAAGCAGAGAAAAATTTTCTACTTTCGATAAAATATTTTTTCCGAACGAAAGCTTCATTTTTCAATTTTTAATCTTTCCTCCACGAGATTCAGAGCAGAAATGAATTCGATTTTCTATGCATTCTATAGATTTTAAATTAAAATTCGATCGTTTAAAAAAAATTAATTCGATAAAGTTTTCTCGTGAATTTTCAAAATCGAATAAATAAAACTTGAAAATTATTCCTTTTCTTCTCTCTTATTGCCCGAGTGATTAAACCATTGAGATCCTGGGTTCACGCCTGACCAAGGAACGGGCTTGCCACGTGGAGTTTACAGCATTTTCTTCACGTGTTTAACATCTAAATGGGATCTAGTTCCCATAAAAAGTCCCTGGGAGGTATCTCTTCTTGGCAGATCATCCGTGCATTGAATTGCCGTATTCTGTCAAACCAGCACCCTTCTTTTATAATTTGTTAATGTTTAATTAAAAGAGAAGGCCCATCTTAAAAATTTCTGTGAATGTTGCGGAAAAGTTAATAGCTAAAAGTTGTCAGCCTCGAAAGACATCATCATACTGCGCGCGAGAATCGTCGCAGAGGTTCAAGCACACTGTTCATCGCCTTTAGATTTTACACCTTAAAATGTGGGATCACATTGTGCAGTATCCCCTACATTGCAAGATCTCTGCATAGCATGAGTGTCTTGTAGAAATAGGTTTTTGTTTAGGACGACGTTCACTGAAGCTTCCACCTTGTCATAACTCCCTCCCTCCCAAGTGTGGACATCATCTATGGACAGCTCCTTTGTAATAAATGTAAAGAAAGCCTTATCAATTTTTGCAGTATCAAAATGCTCCTTGAACGAGATGTTTGCTTCTTATAAAAACTATTGAAACTCAATACTCATAAGAAAACAAGTTCCCTTTTGATGTATCCAAAAAACAATTTTTAACATTTAAAACAGAGCTTCAGTTTGTATATGTTGGCAACAGATAAGCCGAAAACAAACAGTGATGTCCTTTGGCAGAAGATTTAAAATTAGTTTCTAATTGATTTTTCGGGAGTTTCCGATTAGCAATTAGGGAGATCTTAGCCAAAAGTCAAAACAAAGTATTATGGATTTGGTCAAACCACAATGGGGTAACTGTGGCCTGATATATCCGTGATGGATGGCTCAAAAAAATTCCTGAAATTTTTCAACAGCCCAGATTTGATCCTGGGTTCCCAGAACGGTGGGTCAGTGCCTTAACTACCATGGCCGTCTAGCTGTCTTTAAAATCTATTATTAATGTAGGAAAGTTTTGGTTTTTACAATTAATATTTGACATTACTTGAAATGTTTAAACTACAGATTAATTTTGTATTATCTGTTCAATTTTCATAAAAGATTATCACGAATAGCATTACTAATTTGCAGCCTTCCACTGCAAATTCCAAATGATGCTCTCTACAGTTTATTAATTTATCTAATATTTTTAAAGCAAATAGTCTGCAATTTCAAAGCATGTAAAATAACACTTTATTAATAATAATTTATAACAACACTTTTATGTGAAAATAAATAGAAATATATACAACAAACTATTATCCATCAGGGGTTGGGACCAAGACCTTGATGGCTATGAGAATAGACAGATAATAGAATAACCTGTACCAGTACAGAAAAATTAGTTTACAATCCACAATTAATACATAATCCTATATATACGGTACATTAATTAGAATACGGTATAGAAATAGAGGTTTACATATAGTAAAATACAGTACAGTATGTACTTCATTATGGCAATAGCAGAAAGAAAAAAAAAAAAAAAAATACAATAATTCTTCTCCACAAACTGAATTCAGCACTGACAATTAAAAGAGTGATGGACAACTTGTTTTTACTGTATATAAAAATACTACTTTCAGATCTTCTCTCTAAAATGTTTATATTTTTATTAACTTTATATTTTTCTTGTTAAAACAATGCTTTATTGCATAAGGTGCCTCAATGCAATGCTTATCCTGCTTGTCACCTAGTATTTGGTATATTGAAAATGATTTAAATAAGTAATAGTATTATGTACAAAAGAGCAAGTTGTCTAAANGATTATACTAGTTTATAAAATATATGAGTAAACTGATATTTATTATTACTACTTTCAACTAAAGAAAGACTTGTTTGAAAATTATATTTTTATTAACTTTATATTTTTCTTGTTAAAACAATGCTTTATTGCATAAGGTGCCTCAATGCAATGCTTATCCTGCTTGTCACCTAGTATTTGGTATATTGAAAATGATTTAAATAAGTAATAGTATTATGTACAAAAGAGCAAGTTGTCTAAAAATCAAGGACTGCCTATATATGAAAAACTAAACCTTTGTTCCTAATGTTTGAGTACAAAAATATATTTTATTTACAATCTGAAAATTGATGATTATTGGCATTCACATCGTATCATGATGAAATTTTCTAATAGATAAAAGGCACTTAGCAGTCAATAATAAAAAAAAATAGAAAATATTTTTAAAAATTTGTTGAGTTGACAAACAAACTTCATATTTTTTCACATTCTTCTAGCCAAATAAATAAAATTATTTCTGAAAGTTCAAGAATTCTGCAAAACATTTTTGTGTTAAATAAGATTAATAAAATTATTAACAATTATCATAAAATTAAACATTAGTTAAGCGTGTTATTTATACATTGGAAATGGATATGTAAACTGACAGTTTTACATTATTTACAGACCAAATATTATTTTTGATTATTCATGAGAAAATTTGTCTATGAATAACACAAGGGATATTTATATACAGATTATTATTTATAAAAAAATAATAGTTTTATAAGAATTAAATATTTACAAATTATATAACGATTATTTTACTTGGAGAAATGGCTTGAGATAAGATTCAAATTTGTGAAAATCAATTACACAAATCAGAGAAAATTTGCATATTTATTATTTTATCTATTTTTGGCACTTTAAAACTTAATTACAATGATTAAAGAATTTCATATTTATTAGAAATATACAGTAATTCATTTATATGTCTTAAAATTAATCCATAGAGCATTCATTTAGTAAATGACATTCCCATTTACTTAAATAAACTCTGATAAAAAAATATTGCGGCACTTTAAAGCCAATGTGTAATAGTAATCAAATTCTGCACAAGAAATGATAAATGAAAAAAATATAAAAAGTTCATTACAATATTACAGCACAAGGATACATTATTGAAGAACAGTTTCATCATAAATCAGAATATTAATATCTCTTAATAAAATTTAATGTTGGATTAGCACTCCAGCAAGGTGGCATGGTTGTGCTGAGGGACAACTTGGTATTGAATACAAAGAATGTGGTTTTGGTCAACATATGACAAAGTTGCATGTGATAAAGGACAAATATCATCTCTCTTTTTCATACGTGCAGTATAGGCTAGAAGTCTGGAATTTTCTGTTGTTTGGGCCTCTTTTGGGATTAGGAAAAGGGCAACTAAGACAAAAAGGGGATATGTGCTCCAAGATAAAGGTGTCCATGTGTAGTATGATGCAAACATTTTACTTTGGTTAATGTTTGTTTTGTTTGTTCATACAGCAGTGGTTCTTATGGTGGTGTGAACTTAGCTTTAATCAAATTATGGAAAGCACATTATAGGCCAATATTGAATTTGTTGGAAATATGGAAGGAATTATGTACTTTGAAAAAACATTTTTCTGAATTTATTATAAAAGCAAAAGTGCTTATTAATTTTTGGATTATTTATGTAATTTTAATTGTATCATTAATAAAACTATAGTTATTTACTTTGATGAATTTTTCTATCAGCAACAATGCCTTTTTGTTTATATTTACATATAGTATCCTTTTATAGAGAGATACTCTATAATATACCATTAAACCTAGATATAGAACCCTTCTAAACAGTGCTAATAAATACTTACAGACGTTCTCCATAAATATTAAACACAGCACTCTTCAAAATCTGGAAGTATGTGAAACAATATGTTTCACATACTTCAGTTGCCCACTTTATTTAGAATCAATATTAGAAACAAATGGTGTACATATATAAAAACATCTCCAAGTGTGATATCCATAATAAAACCAAATAATTACTGGATTACATTGGATATAGATCTGGATAGTGTAACAGGCAACACATCCACACAGTAAGTGACAGGTGTGGATTCGAGTCCCATTCTGTACTACTACTTTTCTTACAGAATTTTCTAAATTATTGAAGATTAATTTAATTATTAAATTTAATAAGATATGGTATATAATGCCTAACTCTAGTGCCAAATTATTTATTTATTAATAGTAGCAGTAGCCTGATTTAATCCGGCAATTGTTTGGCTTCATCAGAAAGAAATTATGGCACTAAACCATAGTTCAACTATTTATAACAGGAGTGGCCAAACTTTATCATGATATGAGCTGTATATCAGCTATAAGAAATATGCAAGAGTTGCATCTATTGAAATGGTATTTTATATTATATGAAATAATATAATTATCATTGTTCTATAATAAATATTATTGTTACTTTACTGGGACTTCAACTGGCTTTTTAAACATTTGATTTTCCAAATATAATGTACCTATAGATTTTGGTTGCCTGTTCAAGATTGGGTTGCAAGTAATGCTTACAATCTACTGTATATGTATACCACACTATGTAACAATTAGAAAACTTACAAAAATATTACTTATATGTATGTAAGTATACTCTTTGCAAAATATCTCTTTAAAATTTAATATTCTAACACAAAAATATATAAAGATTATATACACTATAGCATAAAAATCATAAAAGCAAAATTTAATCTATCAAACTGTTTGTAATTGAATATATAAATATAACTGAACTGCTATATAATAAATTATACAATTTTAAAAAAATTAGTTCTACATTTATACATAAAAAAGGTTACAACAGATTAATCACTAATTCCAATTAAATCCATAATATGACGATTTATCAATCTACAGTGAATTCTTTCAATTGTTCTCAATATCTTATTAACTATATTATGGCATTATTTTCATTCAATATACTCTAGATAGAATTAAACAGATTTTTTTTTTTTCAACTTGGGTGAGATATTTCAAATACCAGTGTCTAGATTACTTATCAAAAACCATCCAAATCGGAACTGAATTTACTGTATATATTTACTATATAAAATAGCCATACAACAATTATTCTAAATGCATTTATCCATATATTACAAAGTAGTTAAAATTGAGTAAAATATCTGGATTTTTCAAAACTAACACAGTAGAGCATCGATTATCCGTCACCTCGATTAACCGACTGCGTTCTAGTCGACAAATTCAAATGTCCACTAGTGATGTGGCGCTACAATATTTGGCTATGTCTTGGCTACTTTAATAGTATTTTTACGTGTTTTTGCTGGCAACATGGCTCGACCATGAAAGGAGCCAGTATTTAAACGAGGCTTAATTTTCTAATTTTTAACGATACAATAGAGACGATTATTATTAAAAAAAAAAATTTTATAGGCTTAACATGGAGGAAAATTCAACGCGAAGTAGGTTAATAGCGATATACTAATATACTAATTACATGGGATATAATAATATACTACACTAATAATGGATTTTTTCATACTTTTCAATTATCCGACCAACCCCAGTCCCCAATTGAGTCGGATAATCGAGGCTCTACTGTAGTTTCAAAAAACTGTATTCTAATAAACTTTAATTTTTATTATTATTTCTTTTATGAAATTTTTACATATAGATATGCACAACTCAATAACAGACATTCCGTAAGATTGTGAGAGCTAAAAATAATTGTAACTATCTGTATCTTTTCTATATTTAAATATGTTTAGATACATAGATACTTATTATGTTACAATGAGTTAAATATAGCTTGTATGAGCAGTAGACTTTGCCATATAGGTTTGACTAAGTACACCTATGATGACTAAGTACACCTATTCACTTAAAGATGTTCTTTATTTGTTTAAATGTATCCATCATTAAACAACACATACTTGTATTGATTATACTAGTTTATAAAATATATGAGTAAACTGATATTTATTATTACTACTTTCAACTAAAGAAAGACTTGTTTGAAAATTATATTTTTATTATAAAACCAGAGAATAAATCAGCATGGTTTATAATTAATATTTAAAGCTTTAATTATTATACCTTATTTTCATAATATTTATGTCATCTATTCATATATCCTTTACATTAAGAAATTTATTATATAAATATAGACATTTTTTTTCGTTTGTTTGAAAATATTAAATGATAAATGCTAGTATGTATAAAAATAGAATTTCATATTATAACAATCAACAATTTTTTCTTTTATATATTGATATTTTTAAACAAATTTGTAAAACAGTCTATTAATAATAATGCAGAAAATCTAGTTAAGAAATACATTTACTCTATGCCATGCTGTTCCCATTAAACCTCGAAGATTCCAAATAGGCTGGAAGGTCTCAGGTTGTACATTGTAAGATGAATCGACAGCTTTACAAATAATTTCTATAGAGTCTGTGTTTTCTTCAATTGGTAAATCAATCTAATAATAAATTTATTAAAAATTAATAAAATGTACTTAAATCTTAATTAAAAGATATTTAATCTCATTGGATATTAAAAAAGCAAGTAATGAAGACAGTACTTACTTCCCATAATGCCCAAGCCCAAGAATAATACTGTGATGAGTTATCATTTGTTAAAGTAGCAACTTGCCATGTTTTTCCTTTATCAATAGAAACATCAACTCGAATTATTTTCCTTCCACCTCCACTGTACGCATAGCCTTTAACTTTCAATAGATTGTCATTAATTTCTACTGTGCTGTTATTCAATGGATCACATATTACAGACATCACAGGAGTTTCTTGAACAGCAGGAGCTTGGCTAAAATCAACATTGTTCCAATCCACACTTGGTGAAAAACTTTTGTAATCATTTTGCTGCCAATGACTTGAACTTTCTTCACTTGATAGTATTATTTTCCCTAACCATTTAACATTGCGTGCACCAACAACACCAGGCACTACTACTCTTAAAGGAAATCCATGATCAGGAAGTAAAGGCTGTCCGTTCATTTCATATGCTAGCAAAACATCACTTTTTGCATTTAATACCTAAAATTTATTAATTCAGACATTTTAAGATATGAATTGAAAATGTTCAATATCAATACTATATCAATATTAATTTCATACTGAAATTATAAATGAATGAAAGATAAGTTATATTTTCAATAAGAATAAATCTTTTCTTATTGAAAAGATAATTTTCATTTTTGTTTTGTTACTGGATTAGAATTCAAAGCTGTAATTGTATAAAAATGTGAAAAAACTTTTAACAATAAAATATGTTACTTCAACATATATATGTTAATACAGTCGATCCCCCTATAACGGATTAATATATCACGGCAAAAAAATTGCGACCTCATTCGTATAAAGACGCTAAAAGAGACTTGTAAAATGTGGTAAAACGTCATTGCTGACTCATGTTGCGACAGGATTGGTCAAATCTGGACCAATAGTGGATGAGCAGCCAAACTACTTACACGCTAAGGAGAGTTTAGGTGGGTAAATTGAGTTTACTATCGTCTGTACGGTATATAAATTAGTACTGTAATTTTATACATTTCTCGTGAAAAAAACATTTCTTATTCAATGGCCATAAAAATTATTTCTATTAATGTCGTCTCCAAAGTTCAGCGAATTTTTCGCAGAAAAATAACTTATCAGAAAACGCACCCACTGTTTGGTGCGCCACTCCGTGACAAAAACAAGCTTAAGCAATGGCGTCGTCGAATGGTGCACACTCGATAAGTAATCCTACAATTTTTTGTTTATAGCATAGTTTATATGGATTATTCCCAAAAAATTATACGTGTTTTGGAAATGTCGAGTCAAATCAGTCTAGAATCGATTAATTTTTATGGAAGAAAACCTTTCAAACAGCCATAGTCCGTAAACTGCACACGTGCCAGGTTGTGATTGGCTCATGTATTTAAGGATTCCTACAATGCGAAATTCTTATAAAGTGGAATGTATCTACCACGTTATAGGGGGGTTGACTGTATATTGTTTTTATAACATGTTAATATATTTCAATGTAATAAGCTATTATTTATATTTATTATTTGATAATTTTTGTGAGGCCTACCATTTCCTCAAAATTTTGGTTGTTATTATATACCTATAGTACAGTGGAACCTCACTTAATGAGCATAATTTGTTCCAGAATCTTACTCATAATGCAAAACAATTTTTACCATATAAATGAATGTAATATACAATAATGTGTTCCATGCCAAAAAAATACTCAAATATTTTATGTATAACATGTATTCAAAGAGAATTGTACTGTATTTAATTATAGCCTTTACATAGCCCAAGAATTTGGCATATTTTTTGGGCATGTTTATTATATAATGGACTATGGTTGTTGATGTTTATATGTGTCTGAAAAAAGTTCGGAAAAAATGTATGATTACAAGCGACACTAAGAGTTGAGTTATAAACTCCATAATGTAACCGTATCGCTATACCATATTCGGTAAGAAAAGTTTGGATTGACCAAACTTACGGTAGAGATACTGCAAATTTACGAACTGTGCATGCGCTAAGTCAGTCTCTATACAATCGGAAATTGTGCCGGAAGCAACAAATTGGTTGAAATGTATCTTTTGACTGACAATGCTACTTCTGGACAATATAAAATTCTAAGATATGAGTTACTTTGGTCATAAAAAAATAGAAAAATGATAAAAATAAATAAATAATTATAGTATTAGATCTGGCAACATCAGCCAATGATTTTGCACATTCTCATGATGGACTGCTTCGTAAGCCATAAAAAAGTTTGCGCCTTAAAGTTGGAAATTTTATTGTATTTTAAACTATATACAGTGGTACATCAGTATATGTCTGCTTTAGAATACATCCAATTCGAAATACATCTTGTTTAGATGAAATAAATTTTGCTTGGTATACAACTTAATTCAATTATACATGCCATCTATGAACAAGTAGCACTATTGATACACTAGACCAGACTAGATGTTCACAGTGCCATGATTTATAACTTTGCTAAATTTCTTCTGATTTTAATTTGTAAGTAAAATTTTATTATTTTTATTAATCATGGAACTGCAAAAAGGCAAAATGAAAAGCAACAGAAAACTTAAAAAATGACTAGAATCACAATGGAACTGAAAAAAAGGTGGCACGTGTTCAAGATTTTAACTGTTGCATACTGTATTCTGAGAATGACGATATCGACAATCGTGAAAAATAAAGACATTATTAAATCTGGTAACATTGCAAAAAAGGGGTTAAATCAATTTCTAAACAGAGATCGAAGACATTAGATCATGTTGAGAAATTGCTCTTGCTTTGGATAACTGAAAAACAGTGTGCTGGTGACAGCATATCAGAAGCAATTATTTGTGAGAAAGGTAAAAAGATACATGCTGATCTCATGAAAAATCAAGCAGGAACTAGCCAGGAAAGTGAGGTGTTAAAAGCCAGCCATTTTTTTTTACATGAGAACAGATTAATCATTTTTATTATACATTACTTCTTATGGGAAAGGTTGGTTTGGTATACATCCTATTCGGTATAAGTCCAAACATCAGGAACAGATTAAGGTCATATACCGAGGTTCCACTGTATGTATTCTATATCCCTTTGTTTTGTTCTGTCTGGTTGTTCATCAAACAATTGTTTACTATCAGATAAGATGACGTTTGCACCCACACCTAATAGATGTGTGAATATGACATCAGGATTGTTTATGCTATCAAGCAGCATTGTAAAGGAATTTTACCTGTTTTCCCAATTTTAGAACCCTCTTGTAAAGTTTTAGCAAAAACAATTAAAAATAATTAAGAGAAAGAAATTAGAAAAACAAAAAAATCAATTAATTATTAATAATCTCACAACATTCAGAGAAAAAGATGAAGGGGATAACCACTGTTTCCTCCTTTTTCAATAGTGTTAAGTAAAGATGTTACATGGATACATACAATTCATAATAGATAAGAGAGATGGAGGACTAAAGAATAACCAATCATGCTTATCCTTCATTACCTCAACTTCCTTTGGAATAAAATCATAATTGGTGAGAAAAAAGTAAAAACAAAAGGAAATGACAAAAAACACAGAGAAAGGAAGAGGAAGAGAAAGCAGAAAGTGAGAGGGAAAGACAGAGAACAGAGAGAAAGAGAAAAGAGAGTGAACAAACAACTTGTCACCTAAATGCAAATTTCAGCATATAACGAACAAATAAAATTTAATATTCAAACGTTTTCAGCTATCTTTCAGAGGCCCTTGTCAAGAAAGAATGCATGAAACACAAAAAAACAGAAGATAGAACTGTTTTTTTGTGTTTTGGGCATTCTTTCCTGATGAAAGCCTCTGAAAGATGGCCGAAAACGTTTGAATATTAAATTTTATTTGTTCATTATATGCTGGAATTTGCATTTAGGTGACAAGTTGTTGGTTTAGTATATAGTTCCAGTTTAAGTGTGCCAGTTTTTTTGTGTTAAAAGAGAGTGAATACAACATCCAGAAAGAGAATCAACACTGAGAAAAAAGGGCCAACACAATAGTAGAGGGCCACATCAGAGGAATGTTAAATCTGGAGGAAATAGAGTCAGCAAAAACAAAGATAAAGAAGGAAAAAAAAGTGCAATTGAAAAAAAGACAGATCTTTGATTAGAAGACAACTCTGCAACTCTTCCTGGTATGTTGTGAGTGACAAAGTTTGGATACCCCTGCTAGATACCCCCATTTTACTAATATAGAAATAAGACTAACTTCTGAAGACAGATTTTATATTTAATATTAATTTAAAACTTAATTGTAGTATTATGTTCAGTTTTTTTTTTTGCAATAAATTTTCCTTTTTATTCTTAAATTAGTTTATTTGATTTTGTATTCACTCTTCCAAGAGGCTCATTCCTGAACTTCGGAGTGACTTTTACCCGCGCCTTACATATCTGACTGCCCTAGAGTCTAAATCAGAGATATGACCGATAATACACACCTGGTGGCAAGATCCTATCTAAAACTCCCAGAACTCAATTTTTGACGACCCCCAAGCCCCTACACTTTCTATATTGATTGTAGTATTATAAAAATTGGATAAATTATTTTATTCATTTTTTATAGATTAAAGCATTAATATCAATTGTTATTAGAATGTGTTAAATTTTTTTAATACCAATTAGAAAATTAAGCTTTTCTTTGTCAATAATTAAATAATTCAGTCTAACATAAATTTTAAAAAATTACAATGGAAATCAAACTTGCCTTATGGGCAGGTACAGAAACAGCGTAATTTACGTTTGAAGTATGATCTTTGTCCAATCCTTCAAAATGAACATGTTGGATTTTTTCATCACTGAAATCTACTCCTACATAATTTAACAAGTCAACTAATTTCACACCAGACCAAGTTGCTGTACCAATTGCTCCAGCTTCCCAACTTAACCCTTTTACTTCTTTTACCTAATCAAAAGTATCAATTCATTAATACGACATCAGATAACTTCATGATTCAATTCATTTAAATTACTTTCAATAAATGTACAAATAAAAAGGATATAAAACTTAATTAATAATAAAACCATTATGTATATTTGAAAAATAGGAGAATTCTCTCTCTTAATTTTCAAATATGCATAATGAATTTACAATATTACAATAAAAATACAATGCTGGTGTATTTAATGTGTTTCATTTGCAAATGATATTATAATATTAAAAAGTTTCTCTGTATATTTTATTTAATTTTAATATATAATAGACAGATAATATAATAAGAAGCATGTAAAAATTTTTTAAAGTCAATTCTCATCATGTATTTTAAAAATAAATCATTTAGTTTACTGATTTTTGAATTCCTCATGAATTTCTTATAATACTAATGATAAAAAACATGTGGGTTATTTCTTTTGGTAAGTTTTAAATATATAACATATATTAATATACATAGTAATACATAAGTAAGTACATATATTAATATTTATATAATACAAATTATTAAAATACTCATCAAATTAAATTATTTTCCTTAATAATCTCTTCAGATTAGAATTCTTGGATGATGATTAAATGATATTTTTGTATTACTCAAAAATTATAACCTTATTTTGTAAATAATATTGATTTAAACTTATTGTAGTGCTGCGCCACTATAATTCTTGTGTTCAGTGAGTGTATGTATATCCTTCTTACATTAGCTCCGTTATTCCATACCAGGTATTGTAATTGCGAACTTTGATTTTCGTTCTTCTGAACCATCTTTTTTTTGGGGGGCACAGCCGCCTTGTTTCAATTGGCTGTGCGAGATTCACGTATGGTGGGTGATGTCGCACGATGGCGAATGATATAAATTGCCATCCCATGTGTGGAAGGACTCTCTTTTTTTGCTGACTGGGACTTGAGCTAGACGAGCGGAGGTACGCTGGAGTGTGCAAGAAGGAGCACAAATCGGTTGTGACAAAGGGACAGAAATATGCCATGAAAGGAATCAATCTGCATCATCGACACCACGTGGCCGAACCTATTTGTGAGAGGACTCTGGGATTTAAGGTAAAGTTTTTGTTCAGATGCGTACAGTAGTTTCAACGAGGGAGCTGCTTCTGTGAAGTGATTGTAAAAAGTAATTTTCTTATTCTTTATAATCACATCCGTGAAAGGAATAATTACTAATTGACACGATCATGTTTTTTTTTTTTTTTACTTTGTACCTAGTAGTGATAAGCTAAAGTGTACTTATATTGCCAATTATTAAAAATTTTCTTACTTTCAACCCAAGTCGTTTGTCTTATGTAAAGTCCTCAAGTAGCAATTTTTACCCAACCCTTTGTCTGGAGTAATCTTGATACTCCTTAGACACTACATTATCATTGTGAAATGTATTCATATTGGAATTTGTTAGAAATTATTTGCATTTAATTTTAACAGTTTGTCATGTAAATTTAAGATATTTAGGTGCTATTATTATTATCAGCTAATTAATAATTGATTAGTTAACTTTTATGTTAAGAGATCAATATAAATTCTGGGCTTTATTTTTTCAGAAAATTACCTTATAATAAAATACCTTCACAAACATACCTTATTTAGTTCTGATCTTCGATTCCCAGCACACTGAATTGTAGCAGTTATTGTATGCTTTGGAAATTTTGATTTCAAATGTTCAATTGTAAAAGTTTTTCTTGTTCCATTTGTTAAATATATTTCTAATCTATAATCATTTAAGTTTACTTGTGGAACAGGCAGATGATTGCGGACATAAAAAAGTGAACTGTAAAATAAAAGAATGTTAAATTATGAATGAAAATGGAGTTAAAAAATATTTTAAAAATTAAAATTCTTTTAACAACAAGAAAACATACAGTACGTCATTAAATTTCAAAATTAAAAATACTATTCTCTTATATGCATCTCTCTCTTCATACACGTGCAAAATAAAAAATAAATAAATACAAATTTAATTAATTTTTTCAGAAAGAACAAAACCAATATTAACTAAATTAACATTAGTTTTGCTCATTCTTAACTGTCATAAATTGAAAATTGTCAGTTATTGTTTGCATTAAAATCTTAAACTGATAAATAATTAATATAGTCTTCAACACAAGGAAATAACAACTCCATGCTATATAAATATCTAATAAAGCCTATTAAATCTCGAATCAAAGAGCCTTTTTCTTTTCATTTTAAATATTTTCAAATTTAGTTAATGTAATCATTAAATAACTGTTGTTCTTTATAATTCTTCTGATTTATATTTAAAATTTTACATGGATATTCAATTCAAACTACATTAAAAAAATATATATTTAAATAAAGAAATGAGCTTTTAACAATAATAACTTGAATATAAAAATAAAAATATCCAAAATATAATGTATAAGTTATACATCACCCGAGAGAAAACCTAAATTCAAATAAAATGATAAAATACGTTTAATCTAAGATCATACCTTCCCAATGGGTTGATATTGACTCCTTAGGGATCAATAAAAGTTAGAGAGGTCAATAAAATGTAAATATATAAAATTTATTTAAAATATCAAATATTAAAAATGTTACATAATTTTTCACTTCAAATTTAGGAAGTTATTTTTTTAAAATTGTGTAGAAGAGCTGTGGCATAAGTTACATGTTGAGCTGGTCTTTCTGTTAAAGTGCAGATGGCATAACACAGTGTTTCTCAACGGGGGCGATATCACCCCCATGTGGGAGTTTTCCATGTTGAGGGGGCGATTAGTAACAATTTATATTTTGGGTGGCGAAAAACAATTTTCTGGGCGATATAGTAAAACAGTATATTAAGAATAATTAGATATTTTATTTGTTATATCGTACAATAATTAAACAAATAACATTATACTAGTCACTAGTCTATTCAATGCAGTATGAATTTAGCATTAGCCTTGGCATTTGGCATCGGAATTTTGAAGTGAAGGGGGTGATACTACGTAACAGTTTTATTGATGGGGGTAATACTACGTTGAAGGGGGCAACGATTTGTTAGAGGTTGAGAAACACTGGCATAATGTAACACCCAAGTGCATCACCATCCACTACCGGGCCTCTCATTTTATTGAAATTTTCCCCCCTTCCTCTCTTGTCCCAGTTTGTCCAAGTTTCTGTAACCTCCTCCCCTGTTCAGATATACAGCAAAATTTGATCTCCCTTAAAACCTTTATCACTTTATGAATGATAGATATCGTAAGTAGAAATGAAGCACACAAGAAATTTTGAAATAAATAACTGGATGTCCACTGAAGCTCAAGCCCTCCCTCCCTTTCCCTTTGTTTGACTCCTGCCCTTCCAGTGTAGATGTCAGTGGTGCAGCGTGGGTGTCAACTGCCTGGAGCCGAGAAAAATTTCGCCACCCCCTTATTTAGGTACCTCAATTTAAAAGACTAAAATTCAGTTTTGTCACAGAATAAGTAATGAAAAATTCTGTGCTCATTTCAATTGGTCCAAATTGTAGGTGCGACAAAAATATGAAATGAAATGGTTCAAATTTTTACAAGATATTATTATTATTTATTGTGAAATTTTGCCGTCCCCTAAAAATGCCACCCGAGGCAGACCGCCCCTGCTGCCCCCACTGGTGGACGTCATTTATGGACAGCTTCTAACTGGCAATGCAAGAGGGTGTTGTAGGTTCAAGTTTCATTACCCAGCCAATCTTTTCTTCCAGAATATTCTAAATTTAAATTGAAATTTAAAAATTTAAATTTATTATTAGATGGTAGCCTAACCTTTTACCTATATTCAAATTACTTTATATCTAATCATTAAATTCACCTTGTGTGAGACCTGAAAGGTCCCTGGGTCTAAATCAGCAATTTTATTAATAATGTTAATATTTTGTTACAAAATATTACTTCGTTTGGATGAGAAAAATGACGTTTTAGAGTGGGAAAAATAGATAACAGATGTTACTTCCTTTCACAGAAGTTAGTGTATCCTCTGTTTTTCCCTTATCTGCAAAAACTCTCGCTTTGATGGGAAATGCTTACCCCTCACATATCCCCCTTTCCATCCGTTCTCACGGAGGAAACTTTGCATGATGATTGGTCGCCGATCGTGACATATAGAGGAAATTTGTCAGAATTTGGGGAGTTCAGCAACAGATCTGGAAGCGTCCAAACTCCACACATTTTCCTCCTGATGACCAACGCCCTTAGACGAGTCACATAGAATAAGTCCAGAGTCTGCACTTAGAAGTGATACTTTGATTTTGTGCACATAGTGATCTCCCATGGAAAGAAGTAAATGAACTTTATTCTCCAAAGTGTCCCTTGCCTACAGAAAAGAAGACGAACGACAACTAGAACAGGTTGTATGTTTTATAACGATTTTGTGAGCTCTCTCTCTCGATCGCGAAGCGGGTATAGTATAAGTCCTTGCCTATATCGTGTATCTTAATTGTCGTATATATATCCCTCGTTCCTTGATATTTGTATTAGTTTTACTTATATAGAATCATTAAACTTACTCTTGTTTGTTTTATATAAGATATGTCTCTTTATAGATATGATTCAGACTCGAATTAAGAATCGCACGCGTGTTTGTCTGCGGATCGATAAATTGACAAACTGGTGTCAGCCCTGACAAGCATCTGGGCTTCACCGTTCAGATCTACTAGCGGTTATCGCTCTCCTATGAGAACTTTTAAGATTGGATCTCTCGATCCGAAACTTTGGAGACAGATTTCGGATAATCTGTGCCGATTAAGTGGTACGAACAATCATTAGAGGATTAGAGTACCCCCGGCTACTCTCACACCTTGTTATAGCCTGAGAAATAATCCAGTAGTTCATTTGGCATGTTTAAGAGCTAAATATTTCTCATAATATGTAGCAGAGCAGTAACAAACACCTAGTATATGAGTTTATCATAATATATTGCTGTAGCCGATAATGTACAGTCCTAGTTGCAAGGAAAGATGACAAAATCAACTGAAGAAAATTGAAATCAATTACATCTAGTTTTCCTATAGTATTGTCTAGCCACTAGACCAACTAATAATATACATCCAAAAATTCTGATTGACTCGTGAAACAAATTTTGCATCATATATTTGGTGATTTTGGCATGCATACTTAAAGGTTGCCCATTGCTGCCTAGGAAAACTATAATGTAATGTATTTTTCTGTTTTAGGAAATGCTGATTCAAAACAAACACCTGGGGAATAGTCTCTAAATAGTCCTGGTATTAAACTTGATTTTTACTGGATTTTTACCTGTGGATCACTTGAAGGCCTTTTTTATGAACAGATGGTCATTTCACTTACCCATTTAAAAGCCAGAATAATATACAGTAGACATGTCAAGCAGTGACCCCACATCTTACAAAATGCATTGAATGATTAGATCACACACATTAATCTGTGTGTGCATAGGACAACAGTCACATTGAACATATCATCTGAACAGTTTGCTTATGATGTACGACTTATGGGCCACCCTGTACATTTTTCAGATAGGCAATGTTTAGAAGTTTCACTCTGTTTGTTGGTATAGTTATAAAAATTAACAATATAATGTAACAAAAACTCAAATCAATATCTTGAGAAAAATAACTCAAAATAATATTACAAATGTTAAATGTACTATTTAGTATGTATTTTGTATCAATAAAATTTATTTTCTATATTCAATTTATTAAATATTAGTGTACAGTGGGTGATCGGTTAACGAACAAATCGGATAACGAACACTTTTGCGAAAGATTTTTATGATTGGACAACGAACACATGTTCGGATAACGAACACTTCACTAAATAAACATAAAAAAAAAGCGACGAAAATAGCAAATACTGATTGATTTCCCCTTGTCTTCAGGCAACAATTCGAAACTTTTTGGAGCATTGGAGACGTTGACATCGACGCTCAACCCGGAATATACTTCCTTCGAACTTTGAAACTCTCTCTTGTAATTCCAGCCTTTTATTTTTCTGACAGAAACAATTTTTTTATAGTATTCGCGAGATGTCTGATGTTGCTGGGCAGTATGGCTTGAACAAATCTACAGTAGGCGCAGTTCAATCTTATCTAAGAAAGATACAGTATAATCAAGAAGACTCAAGCAGCTAAAGGAGTAACAAAAATCACTTCTGAGAAATAAAGAACATTAAAGAGCTCATAATAGAACCTGAAACGGATCTGACGACAGAAGAACGCCAAGAACTCTTGAATAAAGAACACCAAGAAACTCGGCGAGATATGTTTTATTATGAAAAAGAGGATTGATGCCGATATCTGCTATTAATTAAAGATCTTTTGAAGAAGTGGGGGATGTCAGATCAATGGTCTTAGAATGGCATAAAACCAGGTTGAGATTAATAGGCTTGGGGATCTCTACAATTACAATGCTATTACTGTAATTACTTCTAAAAATCCTGAAGAAGAGAGAAAAGCAATCGACATTAGACAGATTCCTTAACCCCCACAAACAAAAACAAAACATAACTAATAAAAATGCAAGACTGCATATATATGTATTTTTATTATTGCATATAAATGAACGTAGCAACAAAGTACCAGTATATATTTTTTTAATTTTTGGGGTCTCCAGAACGAATTAATCAAATTCCCATACAAACCTATGGTAAATTGATAATTGGTTAACGAACAATTCGGATAGCGAACAAAGTCTTGGAACGGATTATGTTTGTTAACCGATCACTCACCGTATTTTATAAAATTCTATATACACTACTAGTAGAATATTGTATAATGCAGCATAAAAATTTGAATTTCAATAGTTTATTAAATTTAAATACTTTTTAATCTAGATTAGTAACAATTTTTGTATTATAAAATGTTAGCAATCCATTAATCCACTTGTTTCAACTAAGATGCTGCAACAGCACTTAACAATGTCACAAAATAGTGCTGAGCAGTGCCATAACATTTTTTATATGTATTAGTAAAAATATAAAAAGTGCAATAACTCTACATTGATAAAAAAGTAAGGGTACCATAAGAAAAATTTACCAAATTGGGAGTGCCAATTACTATTAGAAAGATTGAAAAACACTGAATTAGTCAGTAGAACAGCAAATGTAGTAATAGTTTCTAGTTAAAAAAGTTGATGCCATTTCCCAAAAATCCAATTTTGTTTTAATAAACTTTCAATTATAATATATATGACCATTACTTCGTGTAAACATATTTTACTTAAGAGTTTTATTATATACAATGTAAATATAAATTTAATATAACTGAATTGTTTAGAAATAGAGGAAATTAAGAATTCACATTTCAATTTCTAACATAACTTTTTAAAAAATTAAAACAAAATGAGAATCTTTAAAAATCAAAATCTATACCTTGGTGTAATGAATTTTTCAGTTAATAATTCTAATGGAGTTTCTGCATTAAATGGCTTATTACTGCAAACTTTTAGAGCAGGATGTCGATTAGGTTCATTAGCATAAACATCACTGGATAATTCTTTCCTATCTTCTTGAGAAAGGTTGCCAATTCTAAAGGTTTCTAACAATTCTAAAATCTGCAAAAAGAAAACAAAAATCAGTTAAAATTTAATTTAAGACAAGACTGTTTTAAACATAAAATATCTATAAAAATACATGACCTAACTATTAAAATGCAAAGCATAATTGAGAATTTTATTGGGCTACAATTTGAAAAAACTGTAGACCTATAAATTCCCACTGTTGTCTGTTCGTCCATCTTTCCTTAATCTCGAGAACGGTGTCAGATGAAAAATGAGACCAGATAAGGAAACCTTAGGGACAAAAGGCCTCGATTAACTATATATGAACTTCTGATGCAAACTGGAAGTCATGTTATTTCAATTCAAAAATTTCCCCGAAAGATGTTAGAAGGTGACTGGCACGACTCTATTGTTAAAGGAAAAGTATGATGTACAGGGGGTAAGTCCTATTAATTTTAGTTGAGGAGAATATATTTGAAATTAAATAAATTAAAAATATAATTAAAAATTGCAGCCTGGCATTGTGACGACGTCACAATAATTTCTCGTCATTCTTAAAACACTTTTGGAGTTATACTGGATTTACATTTTGAATGATAATATACAATTTAACAAAAATTGTAAAAGAAATTTAATTATTAACTTTATGTTATAGCTTGTTGAATTATGGAAAATTTAAAAACTCTTTTATTTTTTTTTTTTATAAAAGTAAGAAATATGATTTATACAGGGTTCCTACTCAAATTTTTGTTTTGAATTCCCTGACTTTCCCTGATTTTCCCTGACCAACTTTGTCCAAATTCCCTGACCCTCACATTTTTTAGTGTGGAATATCGACATAATAAAACAGCATTTACTGTTAACATTGAGTACATTTAGCCCTCTTTTTGCACAGTTGATATGCTTCAAAGACTGCCACATTAAAAAAATACAGTACATACATCCTGTAGAAAAATGTTTGATAGAATCCACAATTTCAATGTAATGAAAAAATAAGCAATTTACAAACAAAACACAAGCTTTTTATTTTATCATCATTTATCATTATTATTTGTATGTAAATCTAGTAAATACAAGGTAACATAAAATCAACAAAAATTATTCTTTGATAAACAAATAGTACTGTACTGTGCTTAAAATGAACTCTTGATTTAGAAACACATAATTTTAAAATCAATCTTTCAACAAAAAGAGTAACTTTTTTTTAACCTTTTTACATTACCATCTGTTGCATATCTTAAAAACAGTTATTGCAAATATAATGTTTAAACATGCATTATTATATGGATAGGATAGATAGGGTGTGACCCATATCCTATTTCTGAGATCAAAGAATGTTTTGATGAGAAGAAATAAAACTCATATTTAATCACTGAGCCTTCTACTGCCCCCATGAAAGCCTCCAGTGCCCGCAAAGGGGCGTTATCACCCACTTTGAGAAAGGATGATCTAGACCAGTGTTTCTCAACCCAAAACTCATCGCAGACCGGAAAATATCTGCTTTTTTTAAGTGGACCAGTGACAATATTATTTTTAATTGAAAAAAATTCTCTGTTGTAAAAAGAACTGCAAACTACATTGAGCAATAAATATTTGTTATTTTATTTACCAGTACATTAGTATACAAATCAATGTGATCGCTGCTTTTCTTTTTTGCTAGTAAGATCATCAATTCTTGGAGTTAAGGCGGTAACTGCAAGGCGTGAGGCAGAACTAATACTATAATGATTTTGTTGTTTCAATTTTATCATTACCATTGCTGAAAACATTGATTCACATAAGTACGTTGTTGAAAAAGGTAGTAACATCCTAACTGCCTTTTTATGTAAAACTGGATATTCAGATTTAACTTTAATCCAAAACTGTGTTATGGGCATTGATTCAAACAATGTTTTAAATCCCAAGTCTGAACTTAATTTGATTAGTTTTTCGTATTCAAAGTCGTTCAATCTATTAGTTTGCTATCAATAAACGGATTAATAATCCACATATTTCCTATTTGAGAACAACGCATGGAAGGTTAAGTATATATTTTTAAAGTTTTCGCGGACTGGTCAGATTAGAGTTGCGGACCGGCGGTTGAGAAACACGGGTCTAGACTATTTCTCAAGTTTCTATAAAAAATTTCTGTTCATTCCTTTTTTTCTCTAATAATTAAATTATTTTACGTTTTTCTATTTTAGTTCCGGACAATTCCGGAACCTCACACTTGTATTCCTATGAAGTCATAGTATTACGAAAATTGGGATTCTTAAAACTTATAAAATAAAATAAATACAGAAATAAACAACAAACGAAATTACAATTATACGTTATTAAAATATAGAAGTTCAGCGCAGAGAATCGTAACTACAAATCTCTTTCTTTTGCAACATAACTATAAAAATTGTTTTGGTGTTGTTTCGCACAAAAAATAATCAAATTTATTTTAATTTTTTAGTAATGTAATTATTTTTTTTTAAATTTACAGCTTTTTAATTTTTAAATTTTAATTATAAGCAAGTTAACATTGGTTAAACTATCGGATTACCTGTTGATTTTCGAAAATATAACTACAGAATATTTATTACAAGCATGATCAATCTTGCCAGTTTTTAAGCCCTAAATTTGCCAAAATCAGTGATATTTGTTACCCAATGTCATTTCAGTTAACTAATTATTAAACTATGTATCGAAGTTGCGGAAAAAAACGGAAGAGAGAGGGAAAATATGCTTGCAGTACAGTACATTCAAGGAAAATCGTAACAACAAATATAAAAAGCTTGTGCCAACAACAAGTCAGCGCCAGTATTTTACTGTAAACGTCGGGTAACTATTTATAATTTTTTATGTTTTAAACTGAAAAACGATTAAATTACAGATTTTTACTGATCTGTTTAGCTATTTTGAAGTGAACATTCTAATAAATTACGATTTCAACTTTTAAAAGTTTGCAAACAAATTTTTAATTAGTTATTTTTTATTCTAATAAACAATTTCATTTTTTTATAATCGCTGAATTACTAAAATTAAAAATTAAACACTATTACATAAAAGTAGTTTATCCTGTTATTAATTAACTCCCTTGCTACCCACTAATTTTTAATATTAATGTAATTAAACATAAAAAATATTTAAAACTGGGAAAAAAACGAAAGAAATGCGTTAATTTTGAAGAAAAAGCTTCAAACTTTATTTTCCATTGTCTCGCCTTTCTGTGAAATCTGACACCGATGAGTCATTGTGTTTACAGCTGGATGACCTGGAGAACAGCTGGTGTTGGGATTTCCCGGGACATTCTCATAGAAGTCTCGGGAGGAGAAGGGTTTAAAGTAGAGTGAATACTAGCTGGCCGTATATTTTTAAATATTTTTCAAAAATTACGTTTTTTTATTGCGATTTCCGACCCCCCGACTTAATTAAACGTATATATAATAAAATATATTAATTTAAAAAAATTAAAAAACTATTGGAGGTCGTTTTTGACATCAGAAACTAGCTTTAAATAACTTTATCGAAGTAAAATCCGTGCACTACTACTTTAGAACGATGAATGAAATTTGATAAAAAAAACTCCCATTAAAAAACAATTAAGAGTTAATCGTGCGTCATTAAAGGTATATTAAAATCGCGATAAAATATTTTCGCGCGGGAAAAAATTTTTGAAAAAATTTGGAGACTTAAAAAACATCCAAAAAAAACAAAAATTTTTTCGGAGGGCCCAAATGCCCGAGTTTTATATAACGCTATGGAACTTTCCCGAGTTATCTCGGGTTTTAAAGATTGCAGCATTACTTCTTGCCGCCTGCGTATGGCTATGATTGGTCATCTATATTCAGCAAACCAAATCAACAACGCAGTTAAGGAGACAAATTCCCTGACTTTTTGACAATTTTCGACAAATTCCCTGACTTTTTGACAATTTTTGACAAATTCCCTGACTTTCCCTGACTTTTTCAAAAAATAATGAAAATCCCTGACTTTCCCTGATTTTCCCTGACTTTCCAGGTGCGTAGGAACCCTGTTTATATTTTTGAAATTTTATGTTAAACTTCCTGGAAATGCAACTGTGCAGCAAACAGGAGTTGTAGATTTGAGTCCCATTCCGAGCATGTTTTCTTCTTCCAGAATAGTCTAAACTAAATTTCTTCAATTTGGAAGTTTGTCTTTCAGAAAGTAATAAATGTACTAAATACTGGATAATTATAAATCTCACACAACCAAAAATCCAGCTCACGAAACACAAAACAATGGAGAAAAACGAACATTTTCAATTGCTTTTTAGCAGCTGTATTCAAGTTAAAAAATATATTTGGAAATGGATATCAGAATAGAATGTAATAATCTAAACTATATAACAAACAACGTATGATTGACAGTTGATGGTCATGTAGTTGTATTGGGATGTAACTATCGAGATGTAAAAAATAATGTTAAATATCCAATAACACCCTCCAAGTTGGGGATAATGTGTTGTTATCCTTGTAGTTGATAAAAAAATTCAAATAAAAATAAAGGATAAATTTTTTAAGTCAATATTTATTTATATAAGTATTTATTGAAGAATTTGATCTTGTGTAAAATATATAGATAACACTGTATTAAAGTCTTGAGTTAATCTAGTATTATTTAGTAGTATAGGTTGTAAAATATATATTATTTTTGCATTGTGAAATTATAAGAATGTTTAAAAATAAATGCTACTTGTAGAAATATTCTATAATATATGTTGCAAAATTAACTCAATATATAAAAATAATTTATTATGGTGTAAAAAGACATTTATGTAATCCAGAATAATCAAAAAATAAAATCTAAACTGAAAGTTAAAAAACTTTATGCAGATTATACGTATTATCATAAACAAAAATTATATCTAATGATTACACTATCAACCTATGCTGTACTTGTTCTACTTATCCACGAAAAATATTTTAAAATATCATTAAATTAAGAAAGTTTTGACACTTTCTATACCATGGGCACTAAGATGGCCCATTTTTTAAAAATCAAACTCCATTGTGGGTTCAGCCATGCCCATAATGGGGGAGCCAAGTGTTGAGGCCTGATATATCCATGATAGACCACCCCATAAAGGATTCCTGGGGTTTTTTATCCTGACTGGATTCATTCCTGTGTCCCCAGAGTGGTAGGCTGACACCTTAAATGTATAACCATCATGAAGAATTTGTTATAATTGAAAGATTACAAAACAGTATATAAATAAAATCTTGTCTAATCAATAAAACCTAATATTCATCAATAAAAGTACCTCATCTTGTTTATGTACTCCATACAACTCCCAGAATGGTTCTATTGGTCCTCCTGCTGCTAACAATATTTTATCACCACCTGGATGCTGATCAACAAATTCTGTAATATCATATACACCTGCTTTGTATGATACCCATATGTGCTTCTCTTTGGTATTATGTTTGGCAATCTCCTTTGCTGAATATTTTGGAAGATTTGAAATTTCTTCACCAAAATATTTCTTCTCATCTGGTGAAATTGCTTGCAATATTTGCACAAAACCTAAATTTCCAAACAAATTTCATTCTTAAACACGTGTAAAACAATCCTAAAATAAATTTACTACAATGTATTTATTGAAAAAAAAATTATATTTTTATTCACAAATATGACTAGTTTATATTTTTAAATATGTTTAATAATAATTTTTTCAAATATGCACAGTTGGATACATTTATAACTATAAATCTGGATCAAGCAATCAAAAAGTATTATTCATACTTCATGTATCTCAAATACATTTACTGATTATCTTTATTTCATTAACCAATTTTCAGGAATCAGGAAACCAAAAAACCAAGGCAGCTCCTTGCATAATATGTTACTAATGATCTTGGGGTTAATGTGTTTTTTACATAACTTACCTACCTATACTATGTCTAGGCAAGCTATCAGTGATGCAGGTGACCCGCACACTGAAATTTCTAATTAAATCCCTGATAATCATTTTCATTAACATAGCTTTCTTGTTATAATCAAACTCAAAACTTTGAACCATAATATTTTACTAATAAAAGTCATTGGTTCCTTCAATTAGTACTCATTTGTATTATTCATTAACATAACAAAAAAATATAATTAAAGAAAAAAAAGTTAAGTGATGGTGTAGAATGCCATCAAATTATTCCATTATCATCTGCATTCAAAAATAAATAAACTGTACAATTTTAATATTGATATACAATGTGGTCTTGCTTTTATATTAGTTTTAATTATAATACAGATAGAATATAACAGTTACCAGAAAATTATAATACAGGTATTCCTCGTACAACATGGCATTCCTACAACATGGTTTTGCTCTTACATGGTTCAAGAATTGGGGATGTCCTCCATGCAACACAGTGTTCTTACAACAGGGTTTTGCTCTAACATGATTCGAGAACATTCAAGGACAAAACATCATAATTTTTAGGTGAAAACCCCATTTGATACTTTTTATTCAAGCAAGCATACATGTTGTCTTTTATTTGCCTATGGATTTTAGAATATTGAAATTTTCATTGTCGTTTCATATCTTCCACATGGTTTTCTTTAATGAGAACTGATCATGTAGTTTTTCTTCTTCCTTGTTTTTCTAGCTTCCTATTCTAGCTTTCCTATAAACTAGGTATCATGGTCATTGGTGATAGGGCTCTAAATGAACCTGAAAGACTGTTGCTGTGCTTTGTTTTATGTTTAAAAGTTACTACATAAAAAAATAAAATTTTTAAAAATAGGGAAATACAAGCAAATGAACATATAAGATTTTATGAAAAAACAGAAAAATCAAGATGATACTTCAGATTAACGTTTACAGGAACACTCAGATGATGACAATATTTTCTCTCGTAAATGAAAAAAAAGAAAATGTCCTCATTTAATGGTGTTTAGTAGAGAAAAAAAATTAATATTAACACAATACTTTTGACTGTGATTGTTAGTTAATTATTAATTACTTTAATAAATATATTTCTCTTAATTACAAAAAATAATAGTATACTTTATGTTTTGTCATAGTTCTTTGTTTTGTATAGCATAAATTTGCATAACATGGCACTTTTTCAGAACTTAACTACTATGTTATTCAAGGGATAACTGTACTACAAAATAGTAAGCAATTATTATTTTGTTATAAATAACTAAAGCAAATAAAAATCAAGTATGGAAAAAGGAATAAAAATTTTTTTTATTAACAACTTTAATTTCTAGCATTTTCAGCTGTATTTTACCGACCTTCCTCAGGAGAAAGTTACAAAATGAATGACAGTTGCATTTGAATACCATGATAAAATTTATCATTCTACTCAAATATAATCAAGTTGCACTTATCATTCTACCTGAATACAACTGTCATTCATTTTGTAAGTTTCTCCTGAGGAAAGTCGGTAAAATACAGCTGAAAATGCTAGAAATTAAAGTTGTTAATAAAAAAAATTTTTATTCCTTTTTCCCTACTTGATTTTTATTTGCTTTAGTTATTGGTACAGTCGATAACAGATGACATTTGAATAGTAATCTAGAGTAACTGTATGTACTCTGTTACATACAATAACTCTAGGCAAGCATAATTTATAGTCGCATATAATTACTACTCTGCGACAAGAAAAAAGTCGAGAATACTGGTATAGTCTACCGCTCATATAAGCTACACGTAACGCAACAATAAGTATTTACGTATCTCAATATAGAAGTACAGACATTACAAATTTTTTCAGCTTCATTATAATCTTACAGAATCTCCATCATTAAGTGATCATTAGGTGCACATCTGTGTTAATTACAAGCATAATGTAAAATAATCCCCAATTATTGTGTAGAATGGATTTTATGCATAAAGAATAGTTAAGATAGATATGTATTATTCCATTTTATAATGTATTTCTTATTAAATATACAAAGTAAACTGCACTCACCACCACCAGATTTATATTTCCAGTATAGTATCCCAGATGTTAAACTGACTATGACAGTAGTAGTTAGAAGAACGTTACTACGACTTCGTCTAGCATTTTGATTATGCCAAGAACAATACGTTTCATCAGGTATCATAAAATTAATCACAGCACCATGCTTCTGTATCCACCTCGTATGATTTCTGCGAAATGGATTAATTATAACATTAAAAATGGCATTAGAAATTGATTAAAATCTGTAGAAACATTGTCTATAGAGACGATAATCGATGGCATGTTTATACAACGCGTTAGTAACAACAAAGTGAAGACAAAAGCAAAAATTACCCTCTGAAAATGTATTCACACTTTCTTGCAACTCCAGCGTGCTTATAGAGAGTTAACAGCTTCATTTATGTAAGTTCATAACGTAATTCAACGCTAAAATAAAATATTTCGAAGCTTCCCTTAGTGCAATCAGCTGTTAGCAAATCATGCACGCTCCACCGACTGCGTAGCCGGTAGCGATCCCGTCCCGTCATGCTCATCGCTAATGCGTTATTTCGTCATCGCTAATCGTCAATTTCAATATATTTTTGATTTGATTGATTACTCGATATAATGTTCAGTGTTGCCAGATTGTAATGAAAATATATTATTTATAAAAATGATTTTTTTTAAATGGCAGCTTATTTTTTAGAATTATATATTATTACTAGCAGATGAGCCCGGCGTTGCTCGAGCAAAAAAATAACAACAGAAAAAATTAAATAATTAAAAGTTATTCAGTAACACGTCACACAAGGAGCAGTTGTTGAAAAGGAGATGCATTTCGGGTCTTAATGACCCATCTCAGTCTTTAGACTTTACAAAGGAGAATAGATCAACAAAGATTACATTATATAGAATAATACATATAATATTTTAACAACATTTTTTTTTTATAAAATTACTTATATGATTGATTGTTGGTTACAATTGACATTAAAGGGTAACTGACTGGGTAGGTAATTTACCAGGGTGGCTGAAAAATTCCGAACATCTTTAAGTACACGGTTGCACTTGCATTCTGCAAGTGAAACCGTGTACTTAAAGATGTTCGGACAACTGTTACAACTGTTGTATCTATATGGGAGGGTAGGATAGTTTCACCAAATGGGAGCCATCTGGAGGTGGGGCGGGATGTAATCACATATGGATACTATCTGTTAGGCTGAAAACCCTCCTCCCTAACAGATAGTATCCATATGTGACACCTAGGACCGACTCTGAAAAAATGCAATGCGTGCATACACCCGGGCAGCCGATTGGGCATTAAAAAAAATATAATTTTGCATACTGTAAATATAATAATCAATAGACTCCTGTCGGTCATTATCTAACTTCTTTCGGGGAATAACTTTTTAAATTATGTACAGTTAATGAAAACATCCTGCCCCTAAGCTGTGTATATTTGGTCTTGATTTCCATGTATCTAACTCCGTTCTCAAAATTAAAACAGACGGACTAACGACAGTACGAATTTATAGGTCCACAATTTTTTCAAAATGATTAAAAGTTTAGAGGAGAGATCCTTTAAAAAGCCAAAAATTCAAGGAGAAAGTACGGTGGTTTCTCCCCGGCTCAGTCTGTTTATCCTCTGTGTCGGTTTACCGTTTTCGTTCCGCCGTATTATAAAGGTTTTTCGGTATTTTTAATATTAACTTTATTCAGTTTGATGTTACATCAATACGCTAAACGTGCAATCCCGACGGCGACCGACGAATCTCTTCGAAAAGCCAAATAATATTGGGCGAAATAAATTGAAATCTTAAGAATTTGATTTATTTCGTGCGATGGCCGAAAACGGACGAAAAAGATATTTATTCGAACGAATTTCGTGCGATTTTCGGAGATGGTCGAGCCACGAGACGTAGAATTCAAGAAGATCGTCTTTTACTCTCCACGGTGGACATTTCGCGCCTTGTAAATGTAGAAGATAATTTATTTATCAAATTCTGAACACAAAAAAATGATTGAAGCAAAATTTTAAAAAATTATAAAAATTGATTTTTTATTCAAATTTTTACGAAATTCGATCATTGTTGACGCGTCTTTTAACGTTTGTTCGAAATTCGTCACACGTGACTATTCGCAGTTCGATTGTGTTTCTGCTCGGAGTTGGACGTGCTTTTCTTGCGCTGGTGAATTGTGTGCTTTTTTTTTGCGATTTGCTGAGTTCGAGGAAGAAGAAAAGAGATTTTCGAGGTAAGTCTTAGTCCATATTGACGCTAGACGTAAGGATTTCTTTAATATTGCCGGAAGAATCGTCACCAGAAGACATCTCGGACCATCGTTCGACGGTCGACGGTCGACGGTTTCGTTTTCGATTTAAAAAGGCAGCTCGGTGAACTTTTTGCTTTATTAATGTAAGCTTTTGTTTTCACTGGACTAATTGCAAATTTTCTTTTTTACAGAATGAAGAGGTTGGTGCGGTTTTGGAAGCGGTTCCGGCGGAGGAAGGCGATGGCGCCGGAGGGAGGGGGTTCCTCGAACGGCGCGGAACGAGTCTGTCGGACTCGGCGCTCGAAGAGACGTTGGAGGAACGGGGCTCGACGAGCCAGAGGTAGCGGGTGAAGAAGACCTTCCCCAAGTGCGCGTGGCGTGGCATCCTCCCGGACTCGGGATTATGCCACGCTACACTCTCGGTCCGACGCACTTGGCCAAGGTCTTCGGGGGTCATCCTGCCACAGGCCTTGCTGTGGAAGATGTAGAAAGTGACGGCTCGTCCGAGTCGACATTTTCTGGTTGGTCGCGTTCTGCCTGTTCGTCTGCCACGGCGACGCTACTGCCTCGCCGAAGTCGGAACGAGGAGGAATCGGAGGAGAGAGCCGCCCGACTCTCGGAACCGTGGTTTCTGTGGTTTTGTTCCCTTCGGACGGCTGCGGATCCCTCGGCCTAGGCGGTGATCCTCTTCGATTTTCCCCTTCACCCGGATGCGACATTCTTATCGGATTAACACTTTCAACCGGACTCGACACCTTTTCTCCGATTTGACTCCCGATTGTGACCGACCGACCTTTCTTTCCAAACAGCTGTTATGAGGATTGAGCTTACGGTTAGGCTAGGCTAGGTCATGTCCTTCGCTCTTCTCGTAACGCTGTTCGGGAAGAAAGACTGTTTGATAAAGATAATAATGTTGACTTTAGGTAATAAATGAATATTTCTCACTGTCTTTGGGTTTTTTGTAGGAATATTTGGGAAGGAGAGGGATCTCCCCCCAACTTTACCACGAAGAGGACAAAGCGACCGTTTATCATACAAGCGAATATTTCCCGAAATCTCCGATGGTAAGAGCTCTTTCGTTTTCTTTTTTTACGCATCTTATTCTCGTATCACAATTTACTGTTTTTCTGTTTTTAGACAAGCCGAAAGATGTTTTTCGATCACACGCACACATACACACACGGACACAACATAACTGTACACGAAGATATACACCGTTTAATTAACCTTTACTCGAATTCTCGCACTCACGCACTTACACGTCAAGCGCCTCGTTCTGTGTAATTCGACACAATGAAAAAACCCGAACACTCGCTTCCCACAAATCCAACCCCTGGGTCCTTGTCCCGGGAAGTGGAAACGCCAATTTTAAAGATTAAAACGTTTTAAATTGGTAAGAAATTATCTGCGCACAATTCTCGCTCGTATTCCAGTACAGTATTGCTAACTCGCCCTGGGTTCTTCAACAGCTCGAATTCGAGCTCAGAGCGGTAGACTGAAGTACTAACCGCTCAAACATCCAGCCCTCACCTTGTTATACTTGCAGCCCAATTTAAATAAACAGAAATGCTCAACCAACGTTGTTAATTGAAATATTAATATTTAAAGAAATTTTTATACACGCATACGTATGTATTATATTTATATACTAAATAAGAAAAATTTCATTTTAATTTGCAACTTGTATTTTATGGCGGCGCAGAAATATAACTTTGAACAATGGCTAGTATTATCGGCTTGATTAGAATAAAATTAAAATATTTTAATGGATTTTTTTACCCCTCTCAACATACTAGTAGGCTCTCATGCGTTGGCTTAGATTATGATATATCTTTTATAATTACAGTATATCCTTTTTTGTAAGAATTATATTTAGTTAATTTTTTGTTAACTTTTTATGCCAATAGATGGCGCTAAGTGTAACTTAAAAAATTAATTGATTGATAGAAATTCAATCGATATTTAAGGGTGAAATGTATGACAAGATGTAAATTAGAGGTATTTGAACGTAACTACCGCTTTTCGTAGCAATTGATCGAACGGCCTCGGAGTGTATAGCGAACAAACAAACATCCCATTTATATATATAGACGAAATCTGTTTACATTTATAAAGTTGTACTTTCTTTAGTACCGTGACAAATACATCAATTATAAAATATTTATGTACGTCAATCTTAAAAAAAAATACTTATTTAACATGAACAAGGGTGCCTTCAGAGAGAGAAAGAAACGAAAAACACAAGAAATGTTTAATTTTAAATTAAAATGTATGTTCATGAGCATGTGCAGAAAATTTTTCAAGGAGCCGAATTTGAGGACAATTTCATCAATAAATTTTTATTAAATTATTTAATTTTTCGGGTTTTTATTTATTTATTTTTTTTTTTGTTTAACTCAGAGTTGCAGCTGTATCACGTGAATGGAAACTATTACGTTATTTATGTATAGTTCCTGCGAACTATATTCGTAGCGATAGTAAACAAAGCCTTCATGAATAATGTATTATCTCGATATAAATATGTATTAAGGGAAACGATCTCAAAATGTTATTTTATTTTGTTACTCTGTTTTTATTAATATCCCGATAAATAAACTCTAAACATCGATTATTCTTTCAAATGGTTCATTTAATAGATCTGTATCTTCCAGTTTGTTCATGCCAAACGTATCGAATGGGTCAAGCCGAAGGTCCATTGGGATCAATCCAAGAAATCCAGACTAAGATTGGCTTTTATGAGCTACGAGAAGATCGAAGTCAAAATGTGGGCGTAGGACCACTTCATCCCTCCAGAATTGCTGAAAAAAGACAAGATATGTTCTTTCTGATGTTTCAATCAATAAAAAATCTGGAGATTTCAAGAACTGAAAGAATGGATTCGGATATTAACGATGCTGGGAACACCTTTGAACGTTTGAGGAATCGTCTTTCTTGTAAGTGCAAACTCTCGTAGATTTATCGTTGTTTAAATTGAATTTTTGCTTCTTAGGTCTTGTTTTGCAACCTTCACCTTACAAAGGCCGAAAGGAAAGAACTAGAGAAGTTCAAGAAGCACTTGAAGACATGGGAGTTTAGAATTGTACCAATACTTATTAAGCTTTGGCACAATAGAGGTGAGAGAAGGACGATTCTTGAATGAACTTTCAAATAAACGAAGAATTGATTCCTTACGAATTTTGTCTATTCATTGTGGGCAATTGTTTTCTTCACAATTCTTGTGATTTAATCAGTGGACCGAGTTTCAAACTCTTCAGAAAATGGACTGAAATTTAAATAAATCTCAATGGCTGATGTTTCACCTTAATCGTGGATTTTTTGTATACAGTATTTTAATATTCATATTCAATTATGATAGTTTTAATTATTTTCAATTTGTGTTTTAAGTTCAGAATAATTGTGTAATAAAATTCTAAAAATTAAAATAAATTGTCGTAATAAATCATTTATATGATACAAAAATTAGAAATATCAAAGTTTAAGCTGAATTTTATATGAATTTAATGATTTCAATGTCTAAATTTCAAATAAAATATGATGTATTTAAATTTACAACAAAGCAATTGTTTTAATCGGGCTAAAATTACTTCTAAGCGTTTCCCTTTTCCTGTATCATAATGTAATGTGTTTATTGAATGCTTAGTTTCTGGGTAGAAGAAGATAGATCCAGTTCCTGTTCCTTTGACTTCCAACAGGAAGGAATGGGAACCAGAAAACTATTAGTGTTATCTTAACGGATGATTATTCAATTAATTCCATTTCCAGACAACCGCACACCTGGTTGTCTGTAATGGAGGTGTAATTAATACTGTTCGTTTTATCATAACGGATGATCACTGAATTAGTCCATCCATCTGCCAACCCACCTCATACAATCTCTATAATCTATTACGAAAATTCACCAGAGAATTTTATTAATTGGAATTATATTAGCTGTAGTTCCCCTGTACATCGGGCTTTACCTTTTACTTTTTCTGTATTACTGAATAGTTATCGTATATGTTAAAGTTACATTAATTTCTTATTGTTACAGTACATTTCATTGTTCACAGAGTAAATCCACGCAAATAAGAATAGAGAAATCTAAATTATTGCGTTGAATAATTAGTAAATACAACAAACGTGATTAATTAATGTATTAATTGTTTATAAAAAGTCATTGCAGTACTTCTACCGTAGCCACATATTTGTATGCAACTGATATATATATTTAGGAAAATTAACTATATCGAATTATTGTATAGTGTATAGCTGTTGTAAAATGCTACTATTGATTAACGTAAAGATAGTGATTATTGTTGAAAAGCCAACAGTATATTCATATTTATGTACTGTACAATGTAATGCCTATTAACGAGTACTCAATATACGAGAATTCAATATAGCGAGATTCTTTTATCTCTCTTCTCCACTTATCGATAGAACTGGTGCCGATCGATATTTACAAAAACAAAATTATCTAATCATGAATGATACGAAATTAAAATTCTCGCATGTTTCTATTAGATTCCATTCTTCATTTTTCTTTCTTTTATTGTTCGTTCGTTCTCTGGAATGTAGTGAAGCTATTCGTTATAAGGCGGTTTTGTTGTTTACTGAACTTTATATCTATATTACAAGTCCTTCTATATGCTATTATCTTCCATCGATGGGATCTTCAGCTTCCTCTCATGTCATATTGAACATCTTCAAATCTTGAAGAAAAGTTATCTACATACTTGGATAGTGTTATTTCCAAAAATGGCGACGTAGAAATGGACGTGAAGTGCCGCATCGGAAAAGCGGCGATAAACAAGACTCTTCTGGTGGATAAACAAGATCTGGTCCTCACCATCCATCTTATTGAGAACTAAATTTTGCCCGTTAGCCTCCATCGTGATTCCGAAAGCTGTTTATGCTAGTGAGTCCTGAAAGACATCGGGAAATATCAATAGAAGGTTCGATTTCTTTCAACAGAGATGTGTACGAAGTTAAAAATATTTAATTTAATTTATAAAAAAGTAAGTGTGCCAAGGATCCTAGAGCTTTTCCTTGGTTACACTACCAGTTGTACAGTACCTATCAATAGAACAGAACATTAATTATATAATATTCTCTTAGCAATGAAAGGTATCGAGTTTCTCACGTTTTAACATTTTTTAGACACGAACTAAGTAATATTTTATTAATATTACTTAAAATTCCCGATTTTTATCGCATTCAAAACGTTAAACACTGATAAAATTCCTATTTATAGTTTAATCGTTACTCTAAAACTAAATATTGAAAGAAACATCATAAAATTTTAATAATTGTTCTCTTTACAACACTTTAAAACAGTTTTAATGTATAAATTTGTATCAGGGTGTCAGTAAATATTTAAGCGCATCTACATAAGAAGTTATCAAGCATAAATAATTTTATTAATGTCTTGTGGGCTAAAATTTAAATTTAAATTTTATAATAATAAAGGCATTTACATGTAATTAACCATAAAGATATATTGATAAATCGTATATTTTTATAACTTATTATTTTATCTAACATGCTATTACAATATATATAATCGATAAAATATTTCGTTATAGAATGGATGAATATTTTACTTTTTTTTAAATTTTGTTAAATAAAGAATAGACTGTAATACAAAAGTATAAATCCAAATAAAGTTCATAATTAATGTTTATACAATATATTATATTTATGTTATATCTTAATATAACATAGTTTTTAGATCAAACCTTTTTATATAATTGTGATCTGAAGATAAACATAATTTTTTTCTTGATCAATTAAGCAAAAAGGAATATTCGATCAATGAATTCAGAAAATATATCATTAAAGAAAGCTTAGTCAAGTAGAAAACATTTCTAAAGATTTAAAGACGTAATATAAAATTGTAAATGTATTTAAATAGGTTCATGTATAACGGAATAAACAGAGAGTCAGCATCAGCGAGCCAGTTTGGAGAGCCAACAGTCATTGAATCAGTTTGGAGAGCGAACAATCAGAATCGGTTTGGAGAGCCAACAGTAATAGAATCGGTTTGGCGTGCCAACAGTCATAGAATCGGTTTTCGAGAGCCAACAATCAGAGAATCGGTTTGGAGAGCGAATAATCATAGAATCGGTTTGGAGAGCCAACAGTCTTAGAATCGGTTTGGAGAGCCAACAGTCAGATAATCAGTTTGGAGAGTGAACAGTCATAGAATCGGTTTGGAGAGCCAACAGTCAGATAATCAGTTTGGAGAGCCAACAGTCATAGAATCGGTTTGGAGAGCCAACATTCAGAAAATTGTAAAGGAAAGGAGTTGAACTCCACATACGTGACTACTAACCCGAATTCCGATTGACCTTTCTCAGGCATTTTGTTTAAACTTCAGAATAAGAAATTAATCTAGAAAACTATTCCAGTATCGTCCATAACTAGTTTTTAAAATTTTTTAAATATTAACTGTCAGACGTCCAAATATCCGAGGTAATTAAAGTATTTTATGGTAAACTGACCCATATTTAGGCGTTAGCGTCTAAATAAGAGTCAGTTTGCCATAAAAGTTCACCCGGGAGGCCCTCCCCATGGCAGTTCAGTCAAGTTTTACGCTGTCTTTTTCACTCAATCTACGAATGCTACGTATTAATGAGCCTCTAGAATATATCTGTCTTGGTCTATTATTATTTATAATACACAAATTCATTCTTTCTATCTTTTAAAATATGTAAAACGGAAGAAAACATGGCTGACGTGTACTATAATCTTGATATATCGGTAATAAAGAGCTCGTCCTTCATACATAATCGATACTTGTTTTCTAAAGAAATTTACATCTGACAATGACGAATCGTAAGTATTAGTTAAACAAAGTAAATATTATACGCAAAAGAGATCGATATTTTCTCTTTACGTCATTTATAATGCATTAAAGAAGTTTATTTTGAATGTTTAATAAACAAGATACAGTCATTTATCAATTTTAAATAAAGAATATTAGCTTATATTTTATTATTTAATACTTCTTGATCCGTAAAATCGATCAAATTATCTCATTAATTGGCTTATGTATTGTATTTTTCATTGATTAAATTTTACAAAATAAATATTTAATCGACTCTAATTAAATATATAAATATTGTAAATGGATAATTGGCCTCAGAGACCCTGCCCTCAGAAGTGCCATACACTTTTACATTTCTAAAAAAATGCGAAAAAAAATTATTTTTTTGCAAATATTTTGGGGCCCCATTACTGTAATAACTCTTTTCCAAGGCCCTGCAAAACTTCTGGATTCGATTGATGGGCAACACAACACATAGACGATCTGTCAAGGGGTGGTGTTTCCTGAGAGGACTTTCTGTAGGAAACGGGCTCCTATCTATATGTTATACACACAAAGAAAACTTGGAAACTCTGCGTGACCAGACCATTATTTATGCTCTAACCTGGCTTAGTGAACAGAGTGGCTCTTCTTACCAGGGCTCCTTCCCGCTCTGCCACTGGTGAGCAGAAGGGCCCTGGTCTTTCATTTACGAGGCTCTCAAAAATGTTAGTTAAAAGCTATTGTTCTATTATATTTAATATATATAATAGTGTATTTAATATAATGGACGTGAAGTGCCGCATCGGAAAAGCGGCAAGTCTTCTGGCGGATGAACAAGATCTGGTCCTCACCATCCATTCTCATTGAGAATCAGCTTCCGCCTTTCACCTCCTTCGTGATTCCGATGGCTGTTTATGCTAGTGAGTCCTGGAAGACATCGGGAAACATCAATAGAAGGCTCAATGTCTTCCAACAGAGATGCCTGCGACGAATCCTAAAGATCCGATATTTAGATCATATCATCAATGAAGAGGTTCTCCAAAGGAGTGGNATATTTATATTTATGAAAAATGTAAAAAGTTATATATTATTTAAATAATAAAATTTAAAATGTTAATTTTTAACGTTTTTTTTAATAAACGGAGGCTTCAAAAGACAAACGACTTGGTTTCTATTGACCTTTGATGGCTCGTTTTTCCATTTATGTTGAGCTCATTTTACGTTTTGTACTTTATAATATTATAAAATTAGGTATGAGATGGGCCTTAAGAGGGCCCTTTTCATACTCATTGCTGATTTAACCAGGCTTACAATAGCGGCGAATAGAGGAACGACATTCGAATTATGCGAGACATACTACTCATGAAATATTCGGGATCGATCTCGTCAGAATCTCGTTTGAATTTAAATAACTCTTACAATTATCAGCTCCTATAACGCATCAGCGACGAACTTGTACCTCTAAATAACCGGTAAAACAGTTAATCTATGATACAAGTTGTAACATAAATCTTACCAGACATACAATATAATTTTATTGTTATATTATTGTAAAAAAAACCGTACTTCTGAATAACGAACCAACCAGCGCCCGATTGAATAACACTAAAAACTAG